TCAGCCTGTCCATGGCAGCACCTGCTCTCTGGTGGGGAGGCCCCAAGAGGGGGGGGCTGGAAAGGAGCCCCTCACCTGCTGAAGAATTGGGGGTCAGGATGGGTTTGGTTGTTGTGGGCTGAAATGCCTGCTCTCAATTGGTTTCTTTACACTCTCTGAGAGGCAGCGTGTGTGTGTGTGGGGGGGGGGGGTAGCAGGGAAGAGGGGAGTCAGGCGCCCACTTAGGGCTCCCCTGGGGCACGTCTGGGGGCCTTAATGAGGGAGATGCAGCCTTAATTGACTTTGTTCCTCCTGCCTAATGCAACCTCGGGTGGATGAAGGAGGCCTGGAGGAAAGCACTTAGGGCTGCAAGCTGAGAAAGCGTTTACCCCCATGACGAAGGGAAGCAAACCGCTTCCTCACAGTGTGTGTAGCTGGTGATGTTTGTGTTCGAGCCGCAGAGTCGAGTCTCGCCGGGAGGAATCGAAGAATTCAAAGGAGAAAAATGCTCTCCCTCCCTGACCTTTGCTCTCCCGCCACTCCACATAGGGACCACCGGCCTTTAGGAGGCTACGGACGTTCCTTAAGGAGAGCGAGAAAGACCCTTCCCTGGGAGAGCCTCTCAGGCCAGCTGGGGCTGCGGGGAGGAGCAAACCGCCCTTCAGGGAAGGCCTCTGGTCTCAGGTGCCTTTCAGACTGGCCGAGACGCGGCCCAGTGCTCTGCACGTGGCTGGAGTTGCAAAGGGGCTGCATCAGGTCAGACCACGGCAGTCGTTGCCCCTTGAAGTGGCTGAGGTCTGCTACCTGGAGCCGGAAGGCCCCTTGCAGATCCCCTGGCTGGCACCCACCGCTGCCTGGGGAGAGAAGTGGTGGCTCTGGCCCGGAGAAGGCCGCTGAAAGAAGCATCACGTTGCGTGGCTTATTTGTCTTCAGCAACACGCACCCTGACCGAACCGGTAGAAGCACCGGTTGAATCCCACCCCTGGAGAGGATCCCCGGCCACCCCACAAAGTGTCTGCCCGCGAGGCGACTCCCGGGGGACGGCCTGGGGAGGGAGCCCAGGTGGGGGTCTGGCGGCCCTGTTAGCCAGACGGGGCTCCGCTCACACAGCTCTGGCCTTTCGTACTTCCAGAGCCTTTTCTGCCTTTCAGCATCCGCAGCGTCATGCAGAAGTATTTGGAGGACAGGGGAGAGCTGACCTTCGACAAGGTCTTCAATCAGAAGATCGGTAAGTCTTGGGGCGAGTTGGGGTCCCAGGTCAAGCAGGGCGAGGCCCGACCCGAGTTGGAGGGGAAGCCCTGGCTTTGTGCTGCCGGGGCCACCGGGGAGCAGAAGCAACGCCCTGCCCCAAGCACTGCAGGGGAGGGGTTGTGCCAGTCTGCGGAGGGCTGAGCTGCCGAGGGGGCTGAGCCTTGGCCTCGCTGGGCAGCCCCCTCGCCTGCCAGCAACCTGCACAGCCCCTCGTGCAGCTGAGAGAGCAGCCGCTGGACAGCTGTCCCGGCTCAGGCCCTCTGCTCTGGCCAGCCACGGCAGCTCCCTCGACAGCCTCCGCCAGCGGGATGGCGCTCCCAGGCGGGCAACTCTGCTGCAGGGCCCTCGCCTGCCCTTCGCCTTCAGGATTTGGCTGGCAGCGGCTGACACTTCCTGGAGGGGGGAGCCTGCTGTGTGGGGCTTCGTGTGGCAGGGCCTGCCTGCGTGTGGGGGTGACGGGCCAGGTGGGCTGAGGGGTTGCTTCCTGTGGAGGGGGGTGGAAATCCCGGGAAAGATTTGCCCTTAGAAGTGGAAACAACGCCAAACAGAAGCCGAACCGGAGTGTCACGGCCGCAAAGCCAGATCTCTAAGCAGGCTTTGTGAATAATCCAGCCAATTGCTCCAGGCGCTTCTCGGTGTTTGCTTATCTTCCAAAGGGGAGATTTTCCCCATTTCAGTCTTGTTCCAATATGATTAGATTGGGATTGGAGAAATCACGGCCTGACGGTGGGACGGGACCTTGAGGTTGGCGCCTGCAAAAGGCGAAGCCCTGATTAGTATCTCAGGCCAGGTGCTCGGACTTGAAAGGGGCCCTTGACGCTGTTTTCTGTGTGCCAACCGTCTCTAAAGATGCTCGTTTCGGTCAGGGGAGCCACTCACAGGAGGATTAGTTAAACCTTGGTTTGGACTTTGAACTGCTTATGGAGGTTTTGGCAGCTGCTTGTTTGGGCGACAGAGAAACACCGAGGGTGAGAGGGTGAAAAGTGACTGAAAGTGCTTAACTTAAATCCCCCCCCCCACTTTACACAAGGGGTTCTTAAAAGGAGGTTTTGAAAATGTGAACTCTTTTAAAATGGCTGCTGCTGGCTTGGCCAGGGGAGAGGATCGTCCAGCTGGAAAAGGCTGAAGAAGAAGCTGCTGCACGTGTTGTGGTGTTCCCTGGGGGGTTGTATTGGGTAGCATCACCCGTGGGCTCTGGCTAGGCCTTGTTGAAGGCGAGGAGGGAGAGGAGGGAGAGATGCCAGCAACACAATAGCCGGAGAACAGAGCCTTGGCTTCTGGCACTAGAAGCGTAATCCGAGGAGGCCTCTGGGCCAGGGAGGCCGGAGGCTCCTCTAGGCCTGCAGGAGTCTGAGGCTCATAGAAATGTAGTATTAGCGCGCACGATGCTGGTTTCCTGGTCTGGTCTAGCGTGAAGGGCTGCTAGGCAGGCAGGGCCCTGTGAGCCGCTCCATTTAGGAGGCCGGGGGTGGCCAGGGTAGATCCGTAGCCAGCTGGGAGCCTTTGCTGGTCTCATGGCCCCGTTTTGAAAGGTGGAGTCTGTCTGTGCCTGCTTGGCTGCTGGGATAACAGGGCAGGAGACACGGCTGCTAAATGAAGGAAGCAGATGTGAAGCGAAAGCATGTTTAAAAATAGCCCTGGCATTTTGGTAAGGGACGCTCGCTTCTCAGATCGAGGCTCATCTGTTGATTAATCGGCTCCTCTCCTCTCCTGGCCATAGAAGGCTGAAATGGTCCAGGCCTCCCAGGCCGCTGTCCATAAAAAGGAACCAACTGCTGGGTTCTTACCAGCCCAGTTCCTTGGGCCAGACTGTCACGATGAGCTTTGTGGTCCTCCACCACCCCAAGGCCACAGGTTGCTCACCTGTGGAGGCTCACCTGCCTTAGGGAAAAGGGTGGGCCCTTTGAGATGGCTTTTGTTTCCTTGTAATGTTTTGTTTTATTGAATTAACTTGTTTAATCGTTCCTTGTTTTCATACTTTAGATGGGGGAGGCTGCACTGTTTTCATGCGAATTATTCCGTTTATTAATATGCAGTAGGTACCTTGGGAGAGTAACCCAAAAAGACCACCCACAAATTCAGGCGGGGCGAATAAGCGTCCAAGGTTGGAGACCGGAAATGCTGAGGGGATTTTTTTATCAAAAGGGGTCAGAGCATTTTATGTACCCCCAGTCAAAGCAACTCCTGAAATAGCTCAACCAGGGCGGGCAGCAGATTCTGGCCATTAGGTCATCCTGGCCCAGAGATCCAGGCCTCCGTTGCGAAGCCTGGCCAAGGAAAGGCAGCGTTTCCCACACAAATATTTACTTTTTGCTCTGCAAACAAAGCTTAGGCTGCCCCTGAGCCCATCGGCAAATGCCAGGCTGGCTCCTCTCCTCCTCAGTCCTTCTTCATGCAACGGAGCCGCTCTCTGGTCTCTGGCGCCCGGCGGGCCCAGTGCAGCGAAGGGCTTGGTCTGGATGACTCACGAGGCAGAGTCGCCTCTGCCCAAGCGGGTGACTCAGCCGCTCCTTCGAGGTTGTTGCCGTACTGGCTGACGTGGGGATGGGCCGCCAGAGGCCAAAGCGCCAGGGAGGCCCCTGGACTGCCACTGTGGGGGATAATGGCCCAGGAGGGGTTGCCATAGGAACGGGCCTCTCGCCCTGGGGAACAGGGCGACTCGGCAGCTGGTGGACGGTGGGTTGGAGGACAAGCCCTGCCGCCCCCTGATCCGGGTCACCTCGGCCACAGCGGACGGCCTGTTTCCAGCCTCGGCGAACTTTGGGGCCACAGTGCCAGGAGGGTCTGAGCCAGGAAGGAGCAGGAGGCCCCGTTTCGTTTGACCGTAGATGAAAACAAATTAAGCGTTGGTCGCTCTCACCCTGGCATGCCCTGAGCTGACCTCCTCTCGGTCGCCTAAAGAGAGGTCGGAGGGAGCATCCCCCTTGGGTGGTCCTTGGAAGCTACAGCCGCCCGTGCTTGGCGAGGGTGGGGGTGGGTGGGTGGGTGGGCAGGGCCCCCTCCTTGCTTCAGTCCAAGGCCAAATGCAGAGAGAGGAAGGCTGTGGCCTGGCGTGTCGCTCCCAAGTCCCAACTTCCCTCCCAACGGTGGGCAGGGGGAGCCCTTCCTTCGTAGCACCCCGGTCTCCTGCGGAGGGGAGGCGCTTTGTGTCTGGGCTGCTCCTGCCAAGCTCCTGGCCTCCTCTGGCTCTGACTTCTCTCCCACCCGAAGCCCCCGCTGCCTCCCCGCTTCTGCTCCTCTCACCCCGTGGCCCTGGCTTGCCTGCCTCCTCCTCCTAGGGTTCCTGCTCTTCCGAGACTTTTGCCAGAGCGAGGTCGACGAAGGCGTCCCGCAGCTGAAGTTCTACGAAGAGGTGAGGCAGTGCGGCCTCCCTGGTCCTCCCGCTCAGCTGGAGGGGTTTTTTGAAGTGAGGAAAAGGGTCTTGGACCATGTGAGGAATTGGTGGAGTAACGGTGCATTTAGGCCCCGAGCAAATCCGATCAGAGGAGCAGAGAGCCTCCACACTCATCTCTTGCTCCCTGAGTGTTTTGAGGAGTGATGATTCGCCCCAGCTGTCAGGTAACGGGGTGGGGGGGCTTTCTCAGGAAGGCTTCCACCGTGTTGTGCAGGCTGGCCTTGCGGGCTGCTGCAAACGCTCTCTGTGGATGGCAGCCCCCCCCCCCCGAAAGGCCGCCAACTGAGTCTGTCTGCTGCACCTGTGAATTGCACGACTGGCTTGCAGGTGCCCCAGGCTTCGTTCTGGAAAAGCGGCACCTGGAGGAGTGCTGGCGTTGCTTAGAGTTGGCACCCGGGAGAACGCCAAGGGCTGACCTCAAGCGCAAAGGGCTGCATTTGGGGCCTGAAGGCGCAGGAGAGAGTCGTCTGGACCAGGAAGCCCTCAGGATGTGGGCATTTCAGGGGCTGCTGTGCCCTGAATGGTTGGTTCAGGCCGCCTGCAGTGCCCCAGGACTGGGGTACATCAGCCTGGGGTCTCCCTCCCCTCCAGGGGATTTCACAGAGCCTTGAAACCCATTTTCAAAGTGTGCCTTCCCAGCCCCGCTTTTCGCTCCCACTCGGCAGCCCTCCCAGCGGGACCCAGGGCGCTGCCCACCGGTGGGTAAGGAGGACCTTGGGCAAAGCCTGGGCTTAACCCCTTGGCCCCGTTGGCTCTTGCAGATCAAGGAGTACGAGAAAGTGGACTCTGAGGAGGAGCGTCTCATCAGGAGCCGCCAAATCTACGACACCTTCATTATGAAGGAGCTGCTCTCCTGCTCCCACGTGCGTATGGGCCCCTCCCAGCCGTCCGTCCTGGCACAGTGGGGCACGGGGGGGGGGGGG